GGGGGTGGGGGGTGGGGGGAGGGAATCGCGATTATGCCAATCAACAATGAAGCTTGTCCACATACGGTCGCGCACCGGTTACGGGCGTTAATTCGATCCTTGCGTCAATAAATCCGTCAGTCCCGCAAGGATCACTCGAAATATTAGTATTTCACCTCGTCGATCGCCTCGGTCGACGAGGGGAGCTGAATTCCCTATTAGGTTATCTCACAAGTATTTCCTCTCACTCCGGAGTATCGTTGGATGAATTGTATGTAAAAACAGGGACGTCAAGAGAAAGGGAAGAGAAACTCGGGAGGGCTGTGCGCCGAAACGTACTCTTTTAAACCGAATCGGTGAAAATGTCACTGATGCAGTAAAATAATATTTCACCGATCGATAAGTGAGTGTACTACCGCCACTTGGGTTTTATACTTCACCAATTTGGTCGGCGGAAGTTTCACTGCAAATCGCTGTTACGTGTCCTGCAGCAGAAATATATATATAGAGGGAAAGCACTAAAACTGACATAGATGTAGTAAATCGACGTACCCATGTTTCTCGGCTGTAAAGCACTAAACCCTGTCAGACAGCACACTGAAACTCGTCTACTGTGTACAGTAGTTGTAGCTGAAGTGGCAGTTTCCGTTTCCACAGCGCGTTCGCTGTGTTATTAGCGTCATTTGATTTTTTTTCGTCGCGCCATCTTGTTAATATGTTTGTTGAGCTATCTCGTTACGAAAATTAAGGTAACAAGTTAGTTTCACATTCGCCGTGAGATCTAATTTTTTTATATCAATTTTTTACCGTTAAAAATGTACTTAATGGATATACGCAGCAAAAACTTCATACTCTGATTAATTTACAATTGTCTACAACTCCTCAAATGTCATCGGGAACTTTTCAATGTTTACTCCTGTCAGAGTCCTGTCTGAGCCCTTAACGGGTTTTCCCAACGAAATTTTACCGTCCGTAGCTGCCGTACTTAGAACTATGACCATCGGTGAGACCATTGACTGCTTCTCAGTGATAATGCACGGTGATTGCATTTTCGAGAGTACACACGGAATCGGATGAATTTCATGAGACGGGACACGAACGGTCCAAGTGGTTCGATAATTAATTCAAGCGATGAATAATCTTCATCTACATCGGTCGCGTTCGCACAGTAGTACCTCTACAAACACCGAGTCAACAGCCTTCCCCCTCCCCTTGCCGCCGAACATAATATCTCGTTTACCTCGCCGGCAATCAAGCGCGAGCGGTCGCAACGTTTAACAATTTCTTCGTCGCCGCTATTCCAGGCAAGTCACACACCATGCTGGGAACCCCGGAGGCTGGTCACACACTGGGCGCGATCCCATGTGCCATAGCGTGGCTTTTCCGCGGCATTTCCGAGCAACGGCAAAGGACCGGTGCCAGGTTCAGCGTCAGGGTCAGCTGTGTGGAATTGACCACCGGCCAGCAACAACTGAGGGACCTGCTTGCGGCTCACGCGAACGGTAAGTAATCTTCCAATTAGTCGGGAGAGAAGTATCCTCGCGTGAAAGAGCCCGGGCTTTTTTTTTTGCCAATTAACGTTATCCACTTAGCGCCAATCCGCCGCAAACGACGTAGATACGTCCTTCGTGAGTAGATTGCAAAAATACACATTTTCTCTCTCTCTCTCTTTCTCTCTTTCTCTCAGTTCCTCCGTTATTTCGAGAGAGTAGAAATCGCCATCGCGACGCTGGACGGAGATTGTCTGGCGATAAACGAATCAACTCGCGATTGTCAAAATTAAATTCGGATAATGCGGTTATCGTACGACGAAAGGTCGGTCGAAACAGATAAAAAACGGCATTCTGATTTCCCAAGTAGGAATTTACTACTGGCGAGGTACTGGCCGATATCGATTTGTGATGTATAGTACCAGATGCTAATATTGATTTTAACCTCTTCCGGGATATTGACACATATGTGTACGTTTAGTCTTATTTAAAAATTACCGTTGTTTATAATTACAAAAATTTTTGAAATTAAAAAATTAAACGTTATCAAAGTAGGCCATGATGGCTGCATGTCAAAATCGATTCGCAAATAAGGTATCTTTGTTTTTTGTGCATTCCATTAGAGCGGATCGTAGATCAGAAATTAAAAATTCATCCCTGAAGAGGTTAATATTGGGATGGTAGAAACGGGTGTCTGTATACAGCGAAGCTGTTTTTACCGATTCTCGCCGACTTAGCTTACATCATTTAAAACGTTTAATCGCGTGAAATTAATACGTTAAATTACAGCATGTTAAGTTAACGAGTCCAATCGTGTTAAATGATGTGATTTAAAACAGCGTGGGACGTACAAGAAGTGTGCGAGAAGATCCTCAGCTGAAGGATTTGAAGTGTACCGAAAGTCAAAATACCGAAATATAACATCTGCTTTACGATACCGGCCTAGTACGGTGTCAGTATCCTGTATTGACGGACTATATACGATGCCTATCTCAAAAGATCGCGTGGCAATCAGTATTCGCTTAATCCGCCGCTTTCGTAACGAAGCAGAGGCACGATTAGGCGCACGTGAGGTCACGTCGTAAGTCGTTTGAAAACAGAAAAGACGGTCCGAAGGTAGCCGGCGCTTCGACGAGTACAAACGCACTGTAATCGGCACGTATGCATTATTCATCGTTCGACATCGTGACATTATTCAACGAGCGTACGCACTTTGCGCGCGCGCGCGCGACGCCATTAACATGATTTCCGAGTTCGACGTTTACCGGCGGATTAAACCGCAGCCGAACCAACGCGATTTCTCGTCGAGGAAACTCTTGCACACTCTAGGAAGCTCTTGTGTCTCGAGCAACCCTCCTTTTTAAAGGAACAGATGAGAGGCAAGGTGGAGGAGCGAGGATCGCACGAGAGAGACGGAAGCGATTTGCCGATTGTGAGCCCTTCTCGCGGAGGAGCGGCAGCTGAAACTTTCCCGAGCGTTTCCGCGATAGGGTTCGGCGTGCTCCCGCAATTAATTCGATGTCTTGAACAATGCGGCCAGGACCATAATCGTTTAGATTAATTAGTGCCGAGAACGCAGCGTGGCGAGAGATTCGTCTCGCCACGCCGATGCGCGCTGCGCCGGACGTGCAATTCCAGGGCGGCGGATCCGCCGGTCGTTCAAATCGCCGATCGTCTGATCGCGTCGAGACGAGATCCCCTGACGTAATCAGGACTAATGCACTAGTCAACGCAACGACTAGTTCATCAGGCTTTTTCAAACGTACGCGGAGAATCCTCCTCCCCGCGTCAAACTGACCCGGTATATCCTATTATTAATATTTTTAATAACTCCTATTTCCCAAACTATTAGCAATTATTCAATTGTGCCTTTGATCCTCTAGAATATTGCGAAAAATAGTCGGCAGGAGTCGAACCTGGAAACATGCCGGGCACAAAGAAATGAGTATTTTAAAATAATTTTACGAGAATACTCCGACTCTCCATGAATATATTTTATGCATGCAAATTGTTTTACATTGAATCAAACTGGACCACTCGGCGAAGCAATTTATCGGACGGTACAGTACCTCTCATTCCGCTCGTCGGATATTGTCGGAAGAACACGGCCGTCCCTGCGAAAATACGGATATTTCATTCGAGTTTAAAGACAGTCAGCACACGGCCAGAGCCGGAGGCTAGAGCCGGTGGAATTCCGCGCGGAAATTGCAATAGCTCGCACGTCCCATTTGCCTGATACGCGCATTCGGCCGAGTCGACGTCTGACGTCTCCGAATCGACGAAAATCGGTCGTGCGGCCGGCCGTCGTGCGCGAAAGCACGAAACGGGGAAATTGTCCCGCGCGCGCTTTCTCTCTCTCTCTCTCTCTCTCTCTCTCTCTCGCGACAGTCTCTCGACTGTGAGTGATTCGAGGAGGATTTCGCGGTAATATTCATGAAGTAGGACGAGAGAAACCCGGTATTGGCTGCAATTTGGTTTCGTCTTCACGGACGGCCGAGTAGACGACTTGGCCCGTAAAATTGAGGGGCGGGATTATTTCCTCCTTCTGCCTCACGTTGACCGCTGCCTCTGTTTTCCGTCCTCTCTTATCTTCGTTGCCCGCTCCTTTTTGCGCCACGCGTATCTCGAGGAATCGCCGAGGACTCGCTGGACTAATAAAGAGTCGTTCCTTCGGAGGGTGGATTGCTATGGTGCACTTATGGGAACGATCGTCAAACGTCGTCGAGGACGTTGCTCTGAAAATTAACCGAGCTATCCGCCAGGAGCTCCTAGCTCCAGAAACGACATCTATAAATTTGCGCGATATCTCTCTAATGTCGGACGCTACGCGAGTTATGATCCAGTTATATGGGTTGAACGTACGACTTGAAATAAAGGCTCGCAATTAGACTTTTCGCGTTGTTAATTTTAATTTCTCCGACACGTCTCAATTATAAATCAACATGCAGGGTGAGATCAGGAGAAATCAAGAAAGAGGAAAAATCGGATGATTTCTTGAGTCGAAATTTCGGCTATATGTTAAACTTTTAGGGGAAAAACACCAGAATCGACATGTTAATTTGTTTTTGGGCCTTGAAGCCTTGTTGAAGGTAAAATTAAAATTTATGCGTGGAAATTCAAATCAGCTACGTTTCTGTACCAAAATCTATGATAGTCTTGAAATTACTGTATACCCGACTTGCGATATTTTAAGCAAACAAAAAAACAAACAGAAGAAATAATAACTACATAATAGGAGTTAAGGTTTATAACAAAATAGGTTTATATATAATTTAAATTCTAATAGTATAATTTACATATGCTTTGTTCATAATGTTCTTAAATTTCCGTTTTTGTTATTTCAACGTTAAAATAAGCGGTCCAAGATAACGTTAAAATTAAATTGTAGAATTTGTAGAATTAAAAGTTCAAAAGGGAAGTTAATAAATGTCAGTATCGTCAAAATAAATGTTTACTAGGATATAAGCCATCTAAAAATCAGTCTTAAGAATGTTAAAGTAGCATCTAAACTTCGGCCCGGGTTTCGATCATTTGGTCAGGTATAATATTTTCTCTATTTTCTGCCGCGCAATATCATTTCGCGAGAGCACCGACGACATGTTCGGCATGTTACGTTCGCAATATGCAGTTTTCACGCTTCACGTCGAAATTGCGCGAATCAGGAAATTTGCCACGGTGATTTCAAACGGTGTTTTCTCCCGGGCACGCTCAGGTCCCATTTTCAGCGACGGTACTTCGGGGATTTTACAGTTATGGAAATTAAGACGTTTATTAGTATAAGTTACCGAATGCCCCGAATACGTGCGATGCGCGCATTCCACATAAAACTCGCGTTAGACGCGTCATTTGAATGCTGGCTTAAAGACTGCGTCTTTCCGTCCGCGAACCAATTAAGATCCGATGGAATTAATTTTCCAGCTTATTAAATAATTAACTCGTATCTATAGAACTATCTTGACTTCGTAAATCTATCCTTCGCCCCCTACGCCCGTTCGCAATTCTCCTCTCCTCCTCTATTTCTTCGTTCGCATCTTATTTCAAGCAAAACTCGGTACCAATGGCGTAACTATCGTTTGGAGAATCAACTCGCGGAGAACGGACTCGAGGATCCTTCATCTCGCATCTCGTGGGATTATTTCGTTTCTTTCAGACGAGCAAGCTCCGCGATTATCTTGAATAATACGCGATAATGTAGGTACCCGACAAGATGAAACGTGAGACACTCGCAGATGACGAATTTTAGCCATTCTCCATTCTCTTTCCTTCTCCTCGTGTCTTTGTCTTTATTACCGCGCTCCATTCTTTTTTTTTTTCCAACATCTCCCTTTCCACCGTTCTTTCTGCTCTTTTTTTTACCCTTCTTCCTCTCTCTTTTCTCGCTTGCGTTTTCTGTCTTTCTTCAATCCGCAAGAACATTAGTTACGCCACTGTCGGGCGCTGCAACCAGCGCGTTCTTCGCTTGAGATTTAAGTCGAGTAGCAGCACCCTCCAAGTTCGCATTTTCCCCAGCGAACTTGATAATCCCGCCCGGTAATTATTTAAAGTTTTCGACGGTCTGGATCTTACACGAGTGCCGCGCCGACGCGAAAAGGGGGAGAATGTCCCCGAGCAAAGGTTTACCTTTGTTACTTCTAACTGTATGCAATGGAATATTTAATTAAGCTTACGCCTTAATGCAATAATTGAAGCAACTTGCGGCGGAATATTTAACACTCAACCGAGCTTAAAATTAGAGAGAGGCGGAGACAGCGAGAGGGAAGGAGGGGGAGAGAAGGGCAGAGAGAGAGAGAGAGAGAGACGCTTTTGTTCGCACCGGATGTCGTAAATAAATGCATTCGTGAATAAATAACTTGATCCTCCGTTAATTTATATTCACTCACGCACCACCTCTAAATAATACCCACAGTATAGATAAAATATATTTTGTTAATGTCGATATATATTATCAATTTTTCTTCTATTATAATATGAATTAGTAATTGTTAAATGTTGGATTATTCAAAGCGATTGTT